AAAAAAAAAAAATTCAATCCTCAATTCAACATACACACATAATCGATAAACAATTAACAATTCCCAATTTCAAACATCACAACATTCAAACATACTATAACAATTACAATCTCCCAACAAATTTAAACAATATCAAAAGTTGAGATAAGCCAATATACCTCGTTCGAATTAATTAACCGGAAATGAGTTTCGTGTTGTTGTTGTCGGTTCACGTACAAGTGACGATTGGATCGAGTTTTTTTTTTTATTTTTCTTATTTTCCGCAAAACGCTGCGTGTGGAGGATGAGGATTGGGAGAGAAAGGATGAGGATTGGGACAGAATCGCGCAAATGAATGGAGAAGAAGAAGATAACATTATTTTATATTTAGTTGTAAAACGTATTTCCGGAATACGTTTTAGAAGCATTTAATTGTAAAACGTATTTTCAGTATACGTTTTTATATATAAAAACTTAAAACGTATTTTCGGAATACGGTTTCTGAAAATTTAGGGGTTTATAAAACGTATTTTTGAAATACGGTTTACAATTATCATTTTTTATTCTGTTTCTTTTTCTTTTAAACGGAACTATTTATTTTAATTTCCAAATATAATTATAAAACGTATTACGAGAATACGTTCTTGTAATTAAATTTAATTTGAAAAACGTATTTTCAGAATACGTCCTTTTGATTTTTTTCTACTCCCTTTTTTTTTTTTTTATTTTTGTCCAGTTATTTTTGTTTATTTTTAAATAAATAAACTACTCTATTTGTATGTGCTATTTTTACCTTATTTTACATTCCTTTTATGAGTGGATGCGACACATATGATCCCTCTCTTTGTCAGGTGTCAAATGCACCATTTGAATTGCCACGTCGCACTTCTCCTTCGGTGAGGAGAGTTTTAATCACTCGTCTCTCTCTTCTCTCTCTCTAGCATTCGCCACTTCAAAACAAAAAGGTTCATTTTCCACAACAATAGTGGTGCTGGTGTTGCTATCAATCATCGCATCGCATTTTCTAGGGTTTCTGGATTGCTTCTTTTCCAATATCTCGTCTTCTTTACGGCGGTGATTATTCGCCAGCAATGTTAGACTTTAATCCGATTATATTCGGATAAACAGATTCGGATCTCCTGCGATATTCTCTTTGATCAACGATCTGTTCGTCTGCTTTCCGCAGATACATATCCTCTGTATTTTGTTTGATTCTAAGGAAAGTTGTGAACTTTACGTTGACAATGGCTGCGAATCTGCATCTCCAGATGTGTGCTTGCTGCTCGAAGAGCCAGCTACTTTGAGTGTATGGGGTGATATATTTCTGTTTATTTGCTGGTCATGTGTATTTTGTTTGGTCCATTAATCGAAGCTGCTGTTTTAGTTTTTTTTGGCTGATGTGGGAGTTAGAGCTTAATTAGTCGGACTTAAGATATAACTTAAAACAAAAGATTTCTGTGTGAATGGAATTTTCCCTTTTCAGATCAATTTATGAGTCTGGTTAAGTTAAGTTGATTCATTAACTGCTGTGGGTGCTGAAGATTTATTAAACTCTCAATGATTACGTTTTTATTAGAAAGGATGTATTCTTTATTTTTTGTTTTGTGCTAGTTGGATCCGATGAAAGATAGTAGTGACTACTGAAATGATTTCTTGGTTTCTCATTTTTATCTGTTATATTTTAGTTGTTCTTAATTAAGTACTCCACAATCATGAACCTTATATTCATACCCATTGCTCGGAACTCTCGTAGAAACAATGATGCTGATTCCCTTTCTATTTTCCCTTTTTAGATGTTATGCAACATTTTTTTGAGGTCCGTAAATCTTTGGACGAGACATATTTGGAGGTACACTGACAAAAGACATTTTAGCAATATAAGTGGAGGTTTTAATGCCACTCGAAGCCTGAATTATTTGTGGGTTCGTAAGCGTGGACATACGAGAAAGATGATGGTGGATTCTAGTGCTTCTGCTGAAGGATCTATGTTTGATATTTTACCAGAGAAGTGTGATGATGGTGGCTATGCTAGCGGAGGATGGAAGAGGTGACTGCTTGTTGAGGGTTTTTAGTTTGCTATTCTCGATTTTGGTATCTTTTATATTATTTTTTTATGAACAAAATATCAATACTTTGGTAGTTCATCTTGGACGTGTTGCATGTTTCTTGTTAGGTTTTCAATTTTATTCTTGGGTTTCTTTGTTCCAGAAGAATCCAGAAAAGATTGAGCTGATAAACTTACTCTGTTTTAGTTTCAGAAGGTCGTACAAATTAGTTATGTTAATTTTGTGTTAGATTATTACATGCTTTTCTGCATTTGAGAACACGTGTAGGAAGAATTAAATGCACATCCTTACTTTCGTGCATTATAGATATTCTTTGTATGAATGCCAAGAATCCAGTTATCGATGTTCCGATTTGAAAGGAGTGATGAATGCTTTTTGTTTGTGTTTTACTTCTTTGATTTTACTGCAATCATTACATCAGGAGTTTTCTTGTTTTATTTTTTCACCGGCGGCATTGAGCTACAGTATCTTTGAGGATGCTATGCAAAATTCTCTGAAATGAAAATACACTGTATATCGCCGTGTCTGGGACCTCTGGTTGGTTGTATCTCTATATTCACAATGTATTGTTAATACTGGAAATAAGACTTAATTTTTCAGATATTTAGTTGTGCCCATTAATATATATTTTGTCCATACATAACTTGAGAAAAATATGTTGCATATTCAGACAGAGACCTTTCTCCTGTAACATTCGTGCATAGAGAATAAACAGATCTGAATCTGTTATTATTTTCTTGAGCCTTTGATTTTCATCTTCGACAATTTCTTGCTGGGATAGTTCAGCATGATGTTGCATGACAATTATATTTCTCTATTACTATTGCACTCCAGAAGATGGTAAAGGAATCTCATAATTGAGATTGATGAATTGATGAAGTACCGGGACATGATCTTTACATGCTCTCCAGCTCTTATATTTTACCCTCCAGGTTTCTTCATCTTAAAATATACTGCTTGCTCAATGTTGATTTAATTAACATCAACACAAAGAGGTTAATAATTCATATGGTATCTCTTGCCATATCTGGAGTCAGTAGTCACTTGGACGAATGGTGTGCTTGTTTTATCTAGTGCAAATCTAGACAGTCTTTGTCGGATAATTACCCTGCCCATTTCATGCGGTATGTATATGTTTCTTATTTGATTACCATTGCCTGAAGTCTACTCTATTTTCCGGTTGGCAGTGAGGATGGTAGGTTAAGTTGTGGATATTCCAGCTTCAGAGGAAAGAGGGTTAGCATGGAAGACTTTTATGACATCAAGTCTTCCAAGGTTGATGGCCAGTCGGTCTGTCTCTTCGGCATATTTGATGGTCAGCTGTCAGCTCTTCCATTTCCTTTATCAAGCTTACCTTATTAGGAAAATAAACAATTGGACCACAGATGAATGCACTAGTTGCATTTGCATGTTCTCTGACTTAGACATATTAATTCTTGAGCACACAGGTTAGCCACACTTGGCCAAAAATGGAGTATTTTTCAGTATTGAGTTTGCTTGTTGAGAAATCTTTAATCTTGTTAAATCTTCGCATTAGTTTTGAAATACATAAGATAGAACGCTGGTTGCTTACCAAATGAGCTTGAACATCAACAGCAGAACTCGAAAGAGGGACTGATACCGCTGGCCTAGCGTATAGCTCCCGTATTAACAAGCCTTCGGTCAATCCTTCTCATGTGTCGTCTTATAGAAAGAGTCTTTCTATTGATCGGTCATATAGGCCCGGGTTGGACATCCAATTGCTTCGATTTGAATTATCCGGAGAATGCCTTATGTATATATCAAAAAGATGGTCACTTTTTGAACATTTAGATTGTTTATTATTCTAATCATGGGAAGCGAAAAGTAATAATGCTCCTATAATGAGGACGTTTCATCATAACAGGTCATGGTGGTGCTCGTGCTGCGGAATATTTGAAGGAACATCTCTTTGAGAATCTCCTGAAACACCCAGAATTTATTGCAAATACGAAATTGGCCATAAGTGAGTGCCCTATCAATAATTTCTTTTGTCTATTACTAAATAAGTAAATATTGGTGATACCGATTAGATGTAAAGTTTCTTTTTAATAAAATATTAGTTAAGTACTGCACCCAACTTTTATGTATTTTCCCTTTTTCTACCTCTTCGATATCTGCCTTTTTGAGTTTAATATTGCACCCAGATGACTCATGCAAACCTCACAGGTGAAACATATCAGCAAACGGATAGGGACTTTTTGGATTCTGAAAAGGAAACCTTTCGAGATGATGGCTCAACTGCTTCAGCAGCAGTTCTTGTTGGCAATCACCTATATGTTGCTAATGTTGGTGATTCTCGAACTATTATATCAAAGGCTGGGAAAGGTAATAGATAATTATGTATGAATTTAAACAAACAACAACAACAACAACAACATACCCAGTATATTCCCAACAGGTTGGGGTCTGGGGGGGTCAGTTGTACGCAGACCTTACCCTTGTAATTATATAAGGAGGCTGTTTCCGTAGCGACCCAAGGTGCATTTCGCCGTTTGATGTATTTTTTTTTCTAGAAACTTCACTAATTTCACTAATAGAAGAAGCACTAAAATTTAATTGAGCCATTTTGAACAAAGTGATGGATTTTTTTTTTTTTTTTTTTATTTTTTTTTTTTTTTTTTTATTATTATTATTTATATGTCTTCTGATTTGGGATTTGTATCTGTGTAGCAATTTCATCAGATAATTAATCAACTCCAAACTGGTTGTAGATAGTTGATTGTCTGGCTAAATTCACTAACAAATTGGAATCAAGGAACTGGAATGATGGACCAATATTTGGTTATGAGATATTAGATAACCATGCATCTATAAATATCTTTAACCCATGATCCATCCTTCACTCTATCCTGTTATGACTTGTGAGTGATGATTGTCCTGGGGTTTATGATACATTAGATAAATTATTGTGGCGATAAGTGCTTTTTAACAATCTTTCTTCTTTTCCTATATGTTCTTTTTGGCTACACAGCAATCCCACTATCAGAAGATCACAAACCAAATAGAAGTGATGAGAGAAAGAGAATTGAAAGTGCTGGAGGTGTTGTCATGTGGGCAGGTTTGGTTTCGTCATGCAAGACTACTGTGCTAATTTGATCATATGCAAATGCAAGATGAGACAATTATTCATTTCAAAATGGTGTGACATGATCTGTGAAGTTGTTTTAGTGTTGGAAGAAATATGGAATTAATCATGGGCTTACTAATTTGGACTTGAGTAGTTTTTGTTTAACCTCATTGTGTAAATGAGGGATGGTTTATTGACTTATTCCATTTCATTGTGTGGATGTGAGTTTATCCTTGAGTGTGATGTTTACTGTATGGCAACGAAAATAAGCACCTGTTCCTTGTCAAAGGAGAGTTATCATGATAACACGTTACTGTTCTTTCACAAAATTCTCATATATTCAGAGGAAGCTATGGAGTTCCATTATTATTAATATTATAATTAATTTATTATCTATGTATTATTTTGAGTTACTTTTTTTGTATCAGGTACTTGGAGGGTTGGGGGTGTCTTGGCCATGTCTCGTGCTTTCGGCAATCGCATGCTTAAACAGTTTGTTGTGGCTGAACCCGAGATTCAGGTACCCAGAATTTAAGAGCATGTTTGTATACAAAAAGTTTCACTCAAAATTCATTCAATTCAAAATCTAACTCACTTTAACTCAATTCCAATAACCCCAATATTATGAATATAATTAAATAATACCATCCAGTCATTCTTACACATCACATCTACTTTAATTCACTATCTACTCACATAATTTTAACTAATCATTCCTTCATATCATATCTCTCCTACGTTTACATCAAATCAACATTAATTATTTTATTTTAAATATTATTTTAATATAAGTTCAAAATCCCACTAACTAACTATATCATATTTTTCCAAATTAACTCTAGTTAACCAAAAAAATCCACTTTGAGTGAAAATTTTTGTATACAAACAGCGGTTTAGTTTTTTTGTCGTAACTCAATAAGCATTTTATTTGTTATGGTTTAGAGTCAACTGTTGCTTGGGTTGGTGAATATAGTAATAAATTGGTTTTTATTGATTCAAGTAATTATGCATTTTTATCAAAAGCTTGTTTTTACCTATGTAAATGCAAATAGGACCGGGAGGTTGACCAAAACCTTGACTTGCTTGTGCTTGCCAGTGATGGACTTTGGGATGTTGTACCTAATGAGGTAACTCACCCTTTGCACTCAGCTGTCATATTTGTTTCTTTTCAGCCTTCTGGGTATAAATATTTGGTTTATTTCGTAGTCAAATATCACACTTGATCTTGATGACATTGTTTAAAGAAAATTTCGGTTATTTTGACTAATTTATCATCCAAATTGTCATCTCTGATAACTCAAAAACTCCATCACCGTATATTTCGAAGATAGAACATGTTTCAACGTGCATATAAAGAAAGAAAACGATAGCCTTACATAAATTACTTTTCAGGATGCTGTCTCGATAGCACAAAGAGAAGACGACCCTGAAAATGCTGCTAGGAAACTGACCGAGACTGCTTTCATTCGTGGCAGTGCAGACAATATCACGTGCATTGTTGTCAAGTTCCACCATGCCAAAGCGGCTTGTTTTGTGGAAGCCCAACAACAAATTCTGGAGTCCAATTCTCAACCAGAGGAATCCCATGAAGACATCAAACTAAAGCCCAACAAGCCTGAGGAAGCCCATCAGACTTCCAAAGTAGATCCTGGAGAAACTGGTTAGGGTTGAAGGAAAATCTTGGATGTGGAATTTTGCATTTTGTTGATTGGGTGATTTGTAATTGATTATTAGTTTGTTTCCTCTATTTTGTTTTTTGTAATTTTATGTCTACGTTTATGTGTGAGTTGACGTTCATAAAGGTGTTACCTTTCCTTTTTTTTTTTGTTTTTTTAAATTTTTTCNTTCCACCTTCAATTTCAGTGGGTGGTATAATTTTATTTAAATAAAGGCTGGATTAAGAGTTGAATTTTTTTGGTCCCCCTTTTGTGTACGTCCCGTTGATTCGGCCGAGCAGGTTGATGCCTGCCCCTAATCAAACTTGTAATTTGTCAATTTTCATTTCGTTTGTTTTATGATTTGGGTTTCTTGAAGCGTGCCTTGATCAATTCTTAAGTTATTATCATTTTTGCCTTTTCGTTTATGTTATGTACTGAGAAAACCTTGTCGACAAACTAAGTAGCAGATTCTATTTTCCAAGAAGATGATTTAATAAGGGAAATTTTCACTTATCCTACATGAAATTGAAAATTTTGCAAATCTACCATCCATAAATAAATAATTGTATATCTACCTAATTGTCAAGAATTAACTACATTTATGCCTAAAATTCAGTTACCTAAAAAGTAGACTCCATCAATTTTCTGTTACCATGATTTCCGCCAAAGAGAAAAAAAAGAAAGAACGTGATTTCTGTTACCATGGTATCCTACATCAAATATATCTGCTCGAGTTTCTGTTGGGTATATATTTAATATATATACATAAAATATACCATAAAAAAATGTAGATGTATGTATAGTATATATTTTTCATGATTTTACTAAATGTAAATCAATCATATATCGAAATATACTAAATAAAACATTGAATGAACAGTATATTTTGAGTTTATATTTAGTATATATTTAGTATATACTGCTTATATATACAACATATACTGAACATATACTCCATATAAACCAAATATGCCCAAATCGTTCAAAATAAAACCCTTATTCACGCCTCTCATCGCAAAATCTTCATCTTCTCCAAAGATTCTCGAACAGCAGAGTAGAGAAAAATTCCTTCGCAACTTTCTTCTTCGCGTGCGTCCTTCGCCATCAATCGTCTTCATCCTTCTCCACTGGCGCGCGACTCCTCTCAACAGGTAGCAAATCTCGTTCCTCATCTTTCTCAATCGACGAAATAGCAGCAGTAGAGCGAGTAGCAGGTTCCGTCCGCCGTCGCACCTGAGGTCACGTCACCCTCCGTCGGCGAACTAGCAATCCACGCCGGGAGTCAAGCTGCGCCGGAGATCCCACGCCTGCTGTCGTACGCCTATCAAGAAGGAACCGTGGCGAGCAGCGAGTTCCGTCGATCCTCCTCGACCGCTCTACTTCGTCCAGCGAGTAGCAATCCTGCCCGATCTGATTGTCAGATCAGACCTTCGCCGTCGCGCCTGTTTTGGTCACCGTCCGCCGGCGACAAGAAGCAGCAAACAACAACTCGGGCCATTGAAAGATCCGAAAAGGGCTCCTCCTCCTCTGAACAGATCTGAAAAATCGAGGAGGGTTTTTTTGCAGAGAAGTGGGTGAAGGTGGGCCGTGGTTTTGGAGAGACAATGAGAGAGAGAGACTGTTTATCAATTGCATTTAATTTGCCCCGTTATTAACATTCAGAATCTTAGGTATAAGTGCAAATATTTTGGGCTTGTTTTGTAATTTTATAGATAAAATTACAATGGGTGTATAAGTGTAATATATTTCATAACTGATAGTAAGGGATGTAAATTCCTCATTTAATAATGTACTGATTTTGTTTAAAAATTGAACCGTTTCTTGAGATATTAAGGAAGCATTTAGCGAAACCACATATGTGATGAATCCTATTCTTCATCAGTTTTGTCTGTACTCAAGATCAATGGGTGTTTAATCCCATGTGGGCCTGTTTTATATACAAGATTAGATAGGATTATGCCCTTTGTCCAGGCCTACTCCGGCGTTTATATTGCATTAAAATCACATAATCTGGGTTTTCGGGTATTAAATAATTCCATGTAGCCCATGTGATATTTTTGATCCATACAATACAGGTCCAACTTAAATTTCTTTTTTGTCCCTGATATTTGACATTTCGAACGAAATTAACCTTGAGTGACCAAATAATTACAACATGCCACATTATAAAGCATCGTCGTCTTTGACCCACAAAAGAATGTCGAAGAAGATCTGTGAGTGAGGTGCAGAAGAGGCGAAAAATTCACTGGGCCTGGGACTTCTCTGTAAGTTTGTGTTCTTACAACAACAGTAATGAGGAAGAATCATCTAGTTTTTGCTTTCTATATATACTTTTTCCTGTCGTTCCAGACATTGTTGTTCTTAAACCCTAAAAAATTTTTCGCATGTTCTGTCCACAGTAAAATTGAGGAACGCGATTGATACCTGAAAGCAGTACTTTGGCTGTTCCTATTATTTCACATCGTAATCCTTGCCCGTCACAGGTACATGATACTTGAAAGCACTACTTTGGCTTTACCTTTTCTATTCCGGCGATTAACCCTAGCAGAAATATTTTTTTTTTCTGTTGTTATTTCGAGTGGGTAAAAGTAACACTCCTTTTAATTTGCGTTCGCTTGGATTTAACCCCTATTACGTTTGGATTTAACACAAATGCTTTTTTATTTTTTTTTGGTTTCATTTGATTTTTTGTTGTGTCCTCGTTGGTTGTCGAAAATGTATTCCATAATTGTTTTTCCGGTGGTCACGGAGTGTTGTTGGTTAATTTTGTTGAGTGCATATTTTGGTTCCTATGTTTTTTTCAACCCTTCATGTTTGTACATAACTAGTTGTTCATTTTTGTTCACAAACAACCAGAGTCGTTAAGGTAATATTATGTCTATTTGCTCTTTGTTTGGTGATAACAAATAATTAAACTTCAGTAAACCTTACTCCACTTTTTAGCACATTTTTGTACAGATTTCTATTTTGACGAGGTTAGAAAACATTAAAAAAATTTGCTTCTCACTTTAACTCATTCACGGCCAAGTATGTATTTTTCTTTACATCATCAGACTAACCATGGGAAGAGGCACTAATACTATTGCTCGTTGAGGACTTAATAATTATACGTAATTTGTGTCATCTGCTTGCGTACATTTACCTTAAGCTGGTTGTACAACCACGACAACATCGTAGAGTAAGACGCCGGCTTACACGAGCATCCTATAGTATGTCAAACCGTCTTCTGTCTCAGATTGAGCATATGAAAGTGCTAGTAGAAATTAGTGACAGAACATGCATTGAACAACGTCGCATGGATCGAAGCACCTTTGGGCATCTATGGTACTTGTTGGAACATATTGGTAGCCTGCGGAACACTAGAGATATTCAAATAAGTGAAGAAGTAGCAATTTTCCTTAGTGTGCTAGCTCACCATAAAAGAAAGTGAGTTGTGAAATGTGATTTTAACCGATCTGGTCAAACAATAAGTAAATTTTTCCACAATGTAGCGGTCCTGCGCTTGCACCCTATCCTCCTTGCCGAAAGTACCCCTGTAACCGACTCATGCACAGATTGGAGATGGAGATGGTTTAAGGTGAGTACAACTTTTTTGTACATTTCTGTTCAGTATAACTTAAATTCAACAAATTAAAATCATGTCTACGACTTCATTGTGTTGTGCATTGAATGACAAGGATGCTTAGGAGCGTTGAATGGAACCTATGTTCCCATGGGTGTTCTTGTACGACTACACGCACGATATCGAAACAGAAAAGGGTTTGTTTCCGTGAATGTGCTTGGGGCTTGCATGCAAGATATGAATTTTTCTTATGTATTGACCGGTTGGGAAGGTTCAGCGGCAGATACTAGGGTTTTACGAGACCCCGTTCACCGACAAGGGGGTCTTCATGTACCAATCGTTTAGTCTTAAATGTATTTATGTAAAAACGTAATACTAATTCCATAGTTATCCTAAATTTTTGGTAATAATTACTTTTAACAGAATTATATTTTAATGTTTTATTGTTTTGTTTTTGGGTGGTGAATCTGTATTTGACAGGGAACTATTACCTCTGTGATGCCGGCTACACAAACGGTTCGGGATTCTTGGCTCCGTACAGGGGTGTACGGTATCATTTGAATGAGTTTGGTGAGGGTAACCGAGTGCCTACAAACCATAGAGAGTTGTTTAACATAAGACATGCACAAGCGCGTAATGTAATCGAGCGAGCTTTTGGAGTATTGAATATGCGATGGGCCGTCCTTAGGAGCAAAACTTATTTCAATATAGACACTCAAAATAAAATTATACTTGCTTGTTGTCTTCTTCAAAACTTTATCCGAACGACAATGAATGTTGATCCTATGGAAAATGAGGCCGACTGTACGCCGAATGAGCACCAAAACCAAGACCCGGATGCCCCTAATGACTATGTAGACGCTGTAGAGCCCAACACAGAGTGGACATATGCAGGATGCTTTGGCTCTTTCAATGTTTAATGAATGGGATGGTCGGAGTTGAACACCCCTACAAGCAATGTTTTCTTGGCTATATCATGACCAATGTTTGTAGAATTAAACATATTCAACCAAAAAAACATGTTCATGTTTCTTTTTAATATTTGTTGTAGTTTTAATTTGTTTTTCTGTGGAAAACACTTTGGTGTGAATGATTCAGAATATGTGTGACTCATACAACATTTCATTTTTTTTTTCTTTATATCTTCGGTTGTGTGCATAATACATTGTTTGTCCTTCTTACTTATGGTTTCTCTTCATTATAACATATTGTATTCTGCTTGTGGAACCGACTTCTTGTTGGTGTGTTGCTTTCGTCCTTAGTGATGGAATCCACCTGTAGTGGGGGACGGAATTCACAGGCCAACGGACAACGTCGAACATGGAATGTGGACGAGGAAAGTGCATTAATTCAAGGTCTGCGCGATCTTGTCTCGCGCGGCTGGAAATGCGACAACGGATTTCGCTCAGAGTACACCAACATATTAGAGCAACATATGGCCCAGTGTTTCCCAGGTACTACCATACGAGCTGAACCACACATATCATCAAAGATTACGGTTTGGAAAAAGACTTATGGTTTAATATTGGGAATGGTTGGAACTTCAGGGTTCGAATGGAGTGAAACGGGAAACATGATTGTTGTGAAGGAAGATGCCGTTTGGCAATCCTACATCAAGGTAACTTACACATTTTACTATGTTTTTTCATGAAAAATTAATTTAAGGATACATTATAATTTATTTTACATTTTTTTTCTTTTAGACAAATCCAAAGTGAAGGGAATACGTTATAAAACTTGGCCCTTTTATGGTGATTGAGTGAAAATATTTGGCAAGGACCGGGCTACGGGAGAAGGGGCATACTGACGCGGTTAATGGAGTGTTGCATGAACCAAGCGTCCATGCACCTAGCCCTATCCCAACTCAAGACTTATTCCCGGAACATTGTGAGCACCCCGACACCAATATGGACTCTTTTTCGGCCCAAGCGGGTGAGAGTAGTACATCCAGTAAGTCCAAGCGTCACGGAAAAAGAAAGCGTAATCCAAAGGTGGAGGATAAAATAATTGGCCTAATTTCATCTGTTTGCGAGGAGACGAATAAGCGTCTTTCTGAATTGTCATCACGATTTACAAACCAAGGTGATGCTAAGGAGCAAAGAATTGCCGTTTACAAACCAAGATGATGTTGCAAAGTGCTCCATGGTCCAACAGATCTTGTCCGGTCAACACAAATAGAAAGAAAAGACTTCTCATTGTCGATCTATGTTTATGGTCTACAATTTAAACTTTGTCGTTTTGGAATTTGAACTATCTATGTATTTATTAAGTAATGTATGTGGAAGTGAACCCATCCCATCATTTTGATGTTCATGATGAACTTGGGTATTATGTTGTAGGGTCATATATTTTGTCGGTGAACTTATGCTTTTGGTTTTGTGACATTCGCACCAACTATTTACTTACCTTATATATTTGTGTTGCATAATTGCCAAGGTTCACTTGTTGAGCTCATATTATTCCGTTCGAGACCAAGTTGAGTTGTCCCGTTTGGAGGTTTTACAGTTCAGGTCTTCATTCCCTCTAACTGGAATCAAAGAAAGTAAAAAAAATTAAGTCTTGTTATTCCCTTCAGCATTTCACCCATTTCTAAATAAAACGACATGTTTTTGTCTTCATAAGTATGTAGTGGTCATAGGTATTGCCTGCCTAAAGAATATAATGATAAATATAAATATACAAAGAATTATATTACGAAATGCAAAA